CTTGCTAAGTTGCTTAGGGCCTGGCTAAGTTGCTGAGACTGGCTTTGAACTTGTGATCCTCCTGCCTCAGCCTCCCCCAGCTCTTGGGATCACAGACATATGCCACCACACCTGGCTTTCAAACTACCTTGATTGTTCCTTCAAGCACCTGACATGCTAAACGGAGGCCAGAAACCTCAAGACTGCTCAGACATATAGTCACAGCTGACCTTCATTTCTTTCTCCGTATTCCACGCTTCACACTGCACAGGAATTCTAGCATCCCCACAGGAAAACACCTTCCTAGCCTGGAGGGAAATGGTCACCCACAGGCTTCTGGGTACAGAATCACAACACCTTTGGGAGGACTCATTTCCACTTCCCCTTGGAGTTCTATCCTTGCCCTACTCCTTACACATGGGCTTCAGCTGTCCCAAAAGCTCCTCCCGGGACCACTTCAGCCACTCTCGCCGGTCGCTGCTGATGGAACAAAAGATGGGGCTGCAGCCCTTTCCACAATCCTCGAGGGCTGGGACGTTCAGGTAGTGCACAAGGACGATGTCAGGGTTCTGAGAGCAAAAGGGCACAAACAGAGAGTCATGGAGTCTTGAGGTTCAGGGGCTCAGCTTCCTAATTCTTGCTTTCTTCCTGGGTACCCTCCTAACTCACCCCCAACTTCTGGCTCTCTCCATCCCCAATCCCCATCTCTTCTTTCTACACTGAACCTAGTCATCCTCCCACTTCATCCTTTTAGATCTCTCCATCCCTCAAAGAGCTAAGCAGAGTCTAGCTCCCCAAGCTCTTTCATTCTTACCTGGAGCAGCCAATAGCAGCGCCGATGGAATGTGGGGACGATGGAAGAGTGAACGTAGCAGCCATAGAGACACTGCCAGGAGACAGGCTGGGGTGGGGGGAGGGCTAGTCTGCTCCCCAACTCTTCCTCTGTTCAGTCCCTTTGCAGGAATCCCAATCTTTCCACCAGTTCCTCTTTAACCCTCTCCCCACCCCCATCGATCCCCCACCCCTTTCAAATCCCAGGAGCCCCAAGTCATAGATGAGGGATGAAGAGAAGGTAACAGTGGGGCTGGGGCCTTACAATGAGGGCCAGATTTGAGATATGGGACTATCCAGAAATCCAAGGGCAAAGCAAGAATGCATCTGAGAGGAGGAGCAATGATTTGGGAAGAGAAACCTGTGCTTAGAGCATCACTGCTTGGATCCCTGTGGGAAATGTAAGAGAAGCCAGGAGACTGGTATCAGTGTACTAAGGCCTGGAGAGTTGGGTCATGGAGGGACATGGGAAGCAGAGAGTAGGCTAAGCGATCAGCCAGCTGATCCAAAGTGAGCAAGAAGGGAAGAGTGACTAGAAGGGGCAGAGGTGGACAATGTCCCCCAAGCCCTGGTAGGGCTGGAGCCCAGCTAAGAGTGGAGGACGGTGGGAAAGGACAAATGATTAGATGCCTAATGCTCTTACCTCCATACCCTGGACCTTCAGCTTCATGTGGTCCTCTCGGGTGGTTTTCCCATCCTTTCGCTTCTTCCAGAGGTAACCATCCTTCCGGTATTTCACCTTCTTGCGGTTGTAGAGGATGATGGAGCCATTTTGAGGTCTAGGAAGAGAAGGGTTCATCTCAAGTTCTGTGAGCAGAAATCAGGATTCCTGCCATATCTCACCTTTGAGAACTTTCTCACCTTGTCTTTGGGGCACAGGATAGCCACTCATCATGCTTCTCAAAGGTGATCAGGTAGGATGCAATCTCCTGTGACAGAGGAGGTACTCAGGTGGATGTTTGCTACATGGAAAGATCTCTTGGTCATTACCTCAGGGTCTCAGTCTCTGCTGAGCTGTGGCAGCTGGACTTCTAAGTATCTGGACCCAGGAAGGTTCCTCTGCCCTCCTAAGAATCCTGGGTTCCATCTCAGAGAAAATCTAACATTGTCTCCTCTACCTCCCAAGTAGAGCCTATATCTTGGGGCCAGGTTCAAGTTCATCATCATTCTTCATACTGTATATTATTTTACTTTCTCAAAATCCCATTTTTGTGCACCCTTCCCTAAGAAAAAATTTCAATTAGTTTGACACTACCAAGAATTCCAGATTCTTTAACTTGACTTCAAGGTTTTCCCAACAAGGATCCAAACCATCATTGTCACTATTTACCCATTTTCCACCTACCATTCCTGCCAGATGAGTCCCTTGATTTCTCCCTGATAATACCTTTAATAGTCACCTCCTGGAAGTTAGTACCCTATGACCTTGGAGTACTATGTGTTCAGTCTCCATGTCTCGAAATTCCAGTCATCCTATAAGCTTCCCAGATGCTCCATGAAGCCCTGCTGACCCCTAAAGGTTCTATGTATTACACATAGAGCCTTCATATATATCCTTTTACTGACAGTTCTAACATCAAGCTGTTGTTACTACTGACCATCAACTGCATATGAGGCACTAAGTATGTAGGATACAGAAGATGTGTAACACAAGGATTATGTCTTCCAAAAAAGAAACTCCAAGTAGTATTATCAGTTTCCTCATCAGTAATATGGGAGTAAAAATATGAAAAACCACAGGCCAAGTGTTTAGCATGGTGCCCAGTGTGTAAGAAATAATAGGTGGTGGCTGTTGCTTTTACCCAGACGGATATGCCAAGGAGCAGTGGGCTCCTTCAAGATCTATGTCTATACCTCTGCTATGATTCTAAAACAGTGCCCTGTACTGAGAAGTGTGCACAGACCCCGAAAGACCCCACTCACCCTCCTCTAGCCTGCTAGGCCTTGCTAAGCCCTAATCCCCCAGTTCCCCAGAAAACCTCATTTGTATTCCACCGCAGCCGCTCTGGAGGCAGCAGCGGGCAGCGAGGAAGACACTCCAGCAGCTTCTTGGGGAGGAAGATCTTCAAGTGGTGGCTGTTCTCTAGAGGGAACCAGAAGGAAGGGTTTGGTGTGCTGCTCTAGCATTCCTGTGAGAGGCACCCCAGGGGTAAAGGGTCAAAGGCAACCCAGAGTATCAGGAAAAACTGCAACCAGGACAAGAAAGAAGGGAATCTAGGAAGCACAGGGCCTCCGTGAGTAGGAAGAACATAAGGGTGGGCCAAACTGGGAACCTGGTTTGTGAACTCACCAGCAATCTCGGTGGTATCCTTGGTATTCATGGTGAGGGCTCCAGGGGGCAAGGTCACCCCCGGCCTGAGGGGCAGTCTGTGCTGGGAAAGGAGAAACAAGATTATGATGAAGCCCCCACATTAATCCAGGATGAGAAGCATGAGGTGGGGGAGGTAACAGAGAACTGGGTCATGATGTCTGGGAAAGATGAAAAAGAGAGGAAGGCACTGGACTATATGGTGTGACAGTACAGCCAGAAAATGGAAGTAAAGGGGAACCCATACATGGGGCCAGGAACCAATATGAGTGGGGAAACAACAATGTTCCAGAAGAAACAGGGTTGGGGTGGGTAGGGTAGAAGGCTAGCCAGGCTAGGGCCTCAGAGGCCCTACAGCTTGGGCTCTTGCAGCCCACTAGGACTACTGGGGGGTTAGGTTCTGGGGGCAGGGACTCAGGGCATCTGGTCCTTGGAGGATGGGTAGGCAAGACAGTTCAGATGAGGGCAGGAGATCTAAGTCAGGGTGGAGAAATAGGCCTTAGAGGACACACCCTTAGTTTCTTCTCTATTTGATTTTCCCAAGAAGGGCAGATAACTGACCTACTCTCTCTCCTCCAGGTTGAGCAGGGCTTGATAGAATCTGAACCTGGTAGATGCTGGATCCTGCTTCCCACCCTGGGGACAACCGCCCTGAGGCTGACAGCCCTCTCCATTCTCCTGCACCCCTCTTCCCAAATGCCTCGGCCTCCCCTTGGCTTCCAGGCCTACCCTAGTCCTTCTACAGCTCTGGCTCCAGTCTGAGCCCCCGCCCGCCTAGGGGAACAGATGGAAGCTGAAGGAGGCTCTCAGCACGGGCTCTGCCAGGTGTCCAGGGATGGAGAGGGGGAGGAGGCCTATCGAAGCCCGGCTATGTGCAGTGAAGCTGGAGTAGGGACTCCGCCCCAGGGCACAGGTGTGCAGTCCGGGTTAGGCAACCTGCCAGGTGCAGAGCGGGATTTGGGCTGCGGGCCCCAGGGCGGTCCTGGAATCTGACGCCCGGCGCTCAGGGCTGTCCCTATGGAGGTACAGGGGGTCCCAGGAGAATGTCTGAGTGGGAGGGTCCCGCCTGCACACCAGGATGTTCTGGAGAAGCCGCGGAGCACAGTCTGCGAGCGCGCGGGGGGCGAAGGGCAGTGCGGGTGCCCGGTGCGGGGTTCTCCGGGACTGTCCCCAGCACACGCAGGTCTGCGGAGGGGCCCTGCGCGGAGCTGCGCCCCCTGGCGCGGGGGAGGAGGACGGAAGCAGGGAAGTGGGGGCGAACAGGGAGGGGTAGGACGGTGGTCCCGACGCGGTGTTCCACGTCGGGACCCGGTAGAGCTGCGCCCCCTGTCGCGGGGGTGGAGAGGCGGGCGAGAGGCCCTGGCTCTTACCTCCCGGGGTCCCGCGGGTGACGGCGGCAGCGGCCATTCTACCCCACACCAACCCCCCCCAAGCGCCGGCTGACAGCAGCGTCCGACGTCACTGCGCACGGGGCGGGGCCTCCCAATTAAGGGAATGGGGTCGGGAAGGGAACCTAGGGTCAACGCACGTGGGTTTCTGGGTGGGGCGCTGGGCGGAGGGACTCGGCTTCCACGGCCTTAGAGCCGGCGGAGAGACAGTCTGCTAGTCTGTAACTAGCAAGTGCCTAAAGGGGCAGTGGCGCCAAAGGACTGGAAAATTGGTTCCCGAGGCGGAAGCGACTCTTGGTTTGGGAGGATCCGGTGGAAGCTGGAACCCTAGGGGCTCTTGAGAAATTCTGGACGGGACAGGACTATTTTAGCCCCCGGAAGACTTCTTTATTTTGGGGACACGGACCGACTTCATTTTTGAGAAGCTGAAATGAACCCCCCTTCCTCATTAATCTCTCCTTCACTGCCTTGCAGAGAGAAAGACAACTCCAAGCTCCACTCACTTGCTCTTTAATAACGGAACAGAGAAGAACACAAAGCCAGGGGAAGGCCTAGGGGAAAACCTGGTTTGGGAGTTCCCCGAAAGAGGGGGTAGTTGAGATGGAAGCCCATTGAGATGGAAGCCCAAGGGGGCTGTGAATGCCTATTCTGGAGGATGGGACCAACAGCTGGAGAGGTTAAGGAAAGAGAAATGGCTCCATGCCAGCAATGGCGTGATTCTAGTGATGGAATTGTTCTTGAGTTCCTGAAGTGGCACCAGCATCTTGGGCACAGATGGTTTCTCTTTACTCCTCAGACTCCAACTCCATGCCCCAGGAATTGTACACGGGGTTCCTTCTGGCTGTGACAGTGCTGTAGGACGTAGAGCTCAGCCTTCTGGAGGCACAACCACCTTCCTGGCTCCAGGGACTCCAGGGAGACCAAAGCAGCTGGAGATGAGAAGTTGAAAAAAAGAATGAAAGAACCTCACATCGGATCTCTTTCCAAATTTCCTAGGCCCCAAACCCAGACACCCCCAAGTCACCTACTTTATTTTTTATTTTAATATATTTATTTATTTTTGTATGTGGTGCCGAGGATTGAACACAGTGCCTTACATGCGAGGCAAGTCTCAACCACTGAGCTTCAACCCCAGCCCCCTACTTCATTTTTGTGCTTCTCAAATATAGCTATCCAACCTGGCTTTTGCTATTTCTTCATGCAAGACCAAGGAACCACATCACTCTTCATGTCATCAAGCTCCTCTCTACCCATACCTGGTCCCTTCCAGGAGTGACAAAATGGTTCTCTTCCTGTGGATAGGTTGCCTTCTCCTCTTCCAGATCAGGATATTCAGTAGTGCTGGGGAATCCACAGCCTTCTTCGTCAAGCACAAGAGGCTCAGATGCTGCCCTAGAGTTGCCCCACTGGGCCTTCTTCAGTCTGTGGAAATTTTAGGCTTAGGAGAGAGGTGCCTAGAGGCCAGGCTTCCAGCTCTCCACCCTTCACCTTTCTGTTCTGAAGTACTTCCTACTGGGACTCCAGGATGTTGCCATTTGACCTCCAACTTACCATTGTCAGTTTTCTACTCCCCCCAAATTGCAGTATTTTCAGTCTAGGAACCCAGAGCTACTCTTAGCTCCCCCTAGTTCTATGGCATACTCTCTTGTCTTCAGTGATCCAGTTTCTACTCCTTCCAATTCAGGTGGCTAGTCCTCCATCCCTCATTTCTCTCCTACTTTCTACACTATAGAAATTCTGTTTCAATTGTTCCAATCCCACAGCTCTTTTCCAAACAAGGTCCAATTCCCTGAAAGCACTCAACTTCTTTCTTAGCTCAAACTATCTTGCCCCCAAACCCTACTCAGCTCCCAGAGCCCACATTTCAGGCCTCCTTACTCATCCATGGTTCTCTGGCGCTTCCTCAGGTCCTCCAGGTGATAAGAGACAGCCCTTACCCGGGCTGGGATACTCCCAGGTCCCTGCTTCATTCCCTCCAAATGTGATCTTCTTCTCTTTCTTCTGCAAAGCATCTCAGGGGGTGGGAGTCCCTCAAGAGGGTACAGGCCAGGCTGAGAGTAGCCACTATTTCTCTGTGCCAGAGAATGAAAAAAGGAGCTAGAAGGCAGAACTAGGTCTCAGTGGGAACTTGGACTGAACTAGGGAATCAGGGGTCTTGGGAAGTTCAGTTCTTAGAAAACATGGTGCTTGATTCACAGAAAGGAAGGTCTGGACAGGGAACTGTTCAGTTGGGAAACACTGAGGGGATGGGTAAAAGAATAGCTGGGAACAGGAAGGCAATGAGTATAATTTTAACAGAGAATTGTGGAAAGTCAGAGTTTGTCATACCAGCATGGGTGGAATATACTGTTCCTCTGTCCAGGTGGGGCTGCAAAACACAAAAAAGGGGCTAAGGTCAGAAGGGACACCTCCATCCATACTGCTTCTCTGATGACCTCTCCCAACTAATTCTCTGGCATTAGGAGCTACAATGTCCATCAGCCAATGAAGAATTAATCTTTAGACCTGGGCTATAAGGATTTATGGTAGTTAAAATTGTACAGCCTCACCTTCCCACTTCTAGTTGGTCTCCGTTTTCTCTTACTCACCTGGGCCTTTGGCAAAGATTCTCCCAGAAGACATTTCCATAACGCTGGGATGTTGATGTGAGGCTCTGGGAAGGGAGGCTCGGGGGTGGAGATCGGCTGACCACTCTGGAACACCTGAGGTAAGGACATGGTAAACTCACATCTGGCTCTTACCTTATAGCATCTACTCACTATAGGATTCAGGGGCACATTTTTCCATGGGACCATACAGTTGCCCAGGTTCCCTCAGGTCATGTCCTCTCTTTCTACTTAGCTGAGGAAGATGGGTGAAGACTTTAATTTGAGTGGAGATTAGAGCTGGGGTGAAGAAGGAGATGAGCTATTTTTGGAAACTCATATCACTAAATCTCAAGCTTCTATAATTCATAGCCAAAGAATGTAATATTTAGCAAGCAGAGTTGTTAAAGGTTGTTAAAGAGGAAGATTCTGGTTACTCAGGTGACTTAACAGGCAGGTTTCCTTTAAGTCAATGCAAGCCTCCAGGAGAGAGAACCTCTGTTTATCCCTACTTTCACCTATCTCCAAAGGAATAATATCCTTGCAGATAGGGAGGAGTGTACAGAGCTGTTTAAGAATAGTGCTCTCAATCCACAGAGAGAAAAATGAAGCAGGAGGCTTAAATTATACTTCAGAGCTATAGTAACAAAAATAGCCTATATTGGTGACCAAAACAGACATGTTGACCAACAGTACAGAATAGAAGACACAAAGACAAACCCACATAATTATCTCATACTAGACAAAGGTGCCATAAATATACATTGGAGAAAAGATAACTTTTTCAATAAATGGTGCTGAGAAAACTGGAAATCCATATGTAACAAAATGAAATTAGAGACTTGGGTAAAGTGGTAAGTGCTTACCTAGCATGTGTGAGGCACTGGGTTTGATCCTCAGCACCACATAAAAATAAAGGTGTCACAGGCCAGCCATAGACTGTGTATGTAAGTGTGAGCATTTGAGCACACGAGCGGACTAGACTGCTCTGTCTGGGCTGTGCATGTTTGTGTCCTTTTCACTCGCTCTGCCTTTTGATCCCACACAGCACCTGAGATGATCACGAAGGTAGACTCAACCCCCTGAAACCTAACCCCTTGTCTCATTGGGGTGGAACTTTCTTGGAGTGTCTTCTCCTCAATAAAAGGGCTTCAGACATGCTTCTCCCTCTTTCTTGCCTGCCTTGCCCCCCTTGTAGGAGCTGTGGTTGAGGAGCTATCACTGAACCCAAAGAAAAAGGTACTTTCTGTGACTGTTGTCTTTTATTTAGTTAGCCCAAATTCACCTGGAGTGACCCTGACTGATTTAGTAGCGTGATGTGGCATAAAGGTAGTTAAAAAAACAAAAAACAAGAAACTGATAAGGGCTGGGGTTGTAGCTCAGTGGTAGAGCACTTGCCCAGCACATGGAGGCACTGGGTTTGATCCTCAGCACCACATAAAAAGAAATAAATAAAATAAAGGTTAAATTCTTTAAATAAAATGATATTAGACCCTATCTCTCATACTTTACAAAACTCACTCAAGGACCTAGGCATTAGACCAGAGATCCTGTGCCTACCAGAAGACAAAGTAGGCCCAACTCTCCATCATGTTAGTTTAGGAACCACATTCCTCAACAAGACTCCTAAAGCACACGAAGTAAAATCAAGAATCAATAAATGGGATGGTATCAAACTAAAAAGCTTCTTCATACCAAAGGAAACAACCAAGAACATGAGCCTACAGAATGGGGGAAAATCTTTGCCTCCTGCACCTCAGATACAGCATTAATCTCCAGGATATATAAAGAACTCAAAAACTTAATACCAAAACAAAACAAAAACACACAAATGGGCAAAGGAACTGAACAGACACTTCCTATGAGAACAAATACATGTAGCCAACAAATATATGAAAAAAATGTTCAATATCATTACTAATTAGAGAAATGCAAATTAAAACACCACTGGGATTTCATTTCATTCCAGTCAGAATGGTAATTATCAGAATGGTAATTATCAAGAGTATAAGTAACAACAACAACTAAAAAAAGAATACAAGTAACAATAAATGTTGGCGAGGATATGGGGGAAAAGGAACACTCATACACTGCTGGTGGGACTGCAAATTAGTGTAAACACTCTGGAAAGCAGTATGGAGATTCCTCAGAAAACTTGGAATGGAACCGCCATTTGACCCAGTTATCACTCTCCTTAGCATATACACAAAGGACTTAAAGTCAGCTCAATTCACAACAGCTAAGTTACGAAACTAACCTAGATGCTCTTCAACAGATAAATGGATAAAGAAAATTTGATATGTACACAATACAATATTACTCAGCTATAAAGAAAAATGAAATTATGGGCATATGCTGGTAATGGATGGAACTGGAGACTATCATGTTAAATGAAATAAACCAATCCCCAAAAAACAAAGGCCAAATGTTCTCTCTGATATGTGAATGCTGACTCACAATAGGTGTTGGGGGCGGGGAGTAGGGGTTCGCCAGATTGAACAGGGAGGAGTGGGAGGAAGGGAGGGGAGATGAGAATGGGAAAGACTATGGAGTGAATCGGACATAACTTTCCTATGTTCATATATGACTACACAATCAGTATAACTCTACATCATGTACAACCACAAAAATGGGAAGTTATACTCCATGTATGGATGATATGTCAAAATACATTCTACTGTCATATATAACTAAAAAGAATAAATAAAAAATGTAAAAAAAAAAAAAGGAATAGTGCTTTCTACTTCCAAAACCTCCAGATTGAATGATGATAGCCCTTCTGATCTTTATTAAATGTCCTGCCAGGCATGGTGGTACATGCTTGTAATCTCAACAGCTCAAGAGGCAAGAGGATTGAAAGTTCAAAGCCAGTCTCAGCAATTTAGCAGAGGCCCTGAGCAACTTAGCAAGATTCTATCTCAAAATAAAAAACAATAAAAAGGACCGGGGATGTGACTCAGTGGTTAAGTACCCCTGAGTCCAATCCCTGGTACCCAAAAAAAAGGTAATATAATGATATAATGTCTTGGAGGTTAGGCCCTTTAAGTGTCTTTTATATTTGCATCTCCATCTCTCCTTAGGTGATCGCACCTAGTCTCATGACTAAATACCATCAATGTGCTGATGATTCCCAAATATATTTTTCCAACCCTGGTTCATCCCTGGGTTCTACTCAACATCACCCAATAGCCCCCAGCCTTATCTATCTTGCTAAAAGGCACTCCAAATGTCCTGTTACTAGGGCCAAAGACCTAGTAAATGTTTTCCCTTACCTTACAATCCTTTGGCAAGTTCTATGAGTTCTATATCTGAAATATACCTGAATTTGACCACTCTCCACCATATCCATTCCACTGCTATATTCCAGATCATCTTCTCCTGAACTATTGCAATGGTTTTCTCCTTTTCTTCTCCCTGCTTCCATTTTCATCCCCCCACAATCTATTTTGCACAGAGCAATGAGAGTAATCTTTTAAAATATGACCATGTGAAGTAATACAAGGTTTAAGATATATTTAAAATAAACTGGGAAGGAGGGGGTAAATGGGTATGAAAAGATTATAATGATAATTATTGAAAATAACTGAAAAGGGCACATCAGTTCATGATACTATTTTCTATGGTTCTATATTTGAAATTTTCCATAATAAAAAGCTGAAGAAAAAAAACTCTGCTTAGACATACTTTTTGCTTACCTCAATTTTTTTTTTTTTTTTGTGTGTGTGTCTGATACTGGGGATTAAACTCTACAACTGAGCCACATCTTCAGCCTTTGATTACTATTGGCTTTAGAATAAAATTCAAACTCTTTTCTATAGTGTACAACATTCCAAATTATCTGGCCTCTGACTGGTGATTCTGACCTTACTCTACTCTTCCCTTGATTATTAAGTTCAGTTACATTGACCTGCTTCCTGATCCTAGAACACACAAAGCTTTTTTCCTTCTTGGGGGCTTTTCTTAACCTACTACCCCCGGGGCCCCAATTCTTCTCTAGACTAGCTCCCTGTTACTTTTCAGATCTCAATTCAAGTTCAATTCCCTACAATCACACTTTCTAACCTTGTATCCCCCAAGACCTGCTATTTTCCCTTATATTCCACTTATGTTTTATTTTTTTTCATGGTACTCAACATTAGCTGAAATTATATTTGTTTATATATTATGTCTTCCCTACCCTAGAATGTAAGCTCTCTGAGTAAAGTACCTATAGGTAATTGTTGAATCCCCAGTGCTTAATACAGAATATTGTAAAGTTTAAAAGCCTTCTGTTGAGCTGGGTTTGGTGGTGCATGCCTGAAATCCCTGTGACTCAGGTGGCTGAGGTAGGAAGATCACAAGTTCAAAACCAGATTTGACACCCCTGAATTTGAAAGTAAAAAGGACTGGAAGTAAAGTTCAGTGATAGAACACCCCTGGGTTCAATCCCCAGTAACACCAAATAAATAAATAAATAAAATCTATCCGTTGAATAAATCAATGAACCATCAATTCCCAAGCCCAGACACAAAGCTGAGCTTCCTGTTCCTTATTTCCCTATTGTTGCAGAGAAGAATCTAGGCATGCAATCTTCCCTCCATCCCACTTTCATCCCCCACACCCAACAGGGAGGACTCACTTGGCAAAGGGGATGAGATTGTCTCCATCTGCCTGTACCTGCATGACTGGACTGGTGGGTACCTGGACTGTTTCCTTCTTGGTGCTAGGAGGATAATGAAAAATGAAACATTTTCTCAGGGTTGTAGGGATGAGACCAGCAGCAGATTTAGAGATTTATAAGAGAATGTGTGGACCCTGAAAACAGACAGCTTAAAAGGTATTTTTAGGGTTAGGGATGGAGCTCAGTAATAAGTGCTTGCTTAGCATGCACTAAGTCCTGAGTTCAAACCCCAGGACTGGGGGTGCAGTGGAGAAAAGATATTCCTAAGTCTGGACTATTAATTAAACATACAGGTTGAAGATGGTAAGTACAGGAAGGATAGATGTGGTAAAAGGGAAAAGAAATTTCTTAAGCTAAATATATTAAGTAAGTAAAATTTACAGATGGCAGTTAAGGGCCTTGCCAGGTAATATGCGATAATTCAATGAAAAAGGATGATAAGTGGAGATTGGATGGGCAGAGGCATTGGGGGTAGTAGGCACAGAACTGGTGGTTAAGGATAGTTAGAGAAATAACAGAATTTGAAGGCTAGTAAATGAATCAGGTATGAGTGTGGTAAGTGGAAGTGTGGACAGAGTGAAACATTGGGGACAGAAATGGAGGGGCAGTTAGGAATGTCTTTGTGCAAATAGGTGAACAGGGAGGTCAGTTGCACAGAGCCATATTTAGGGGCAGTCAAAGATGACCTGAGAGCCAGTTGGGGTGGGTAGAAAAGGTAGTTAAGAATACTAAATGAGGGAGTTGGAGATGTGGCTCAGAGGTGGAGCACTCGCCTAGTAAGCATGAGGCATTGGGTTCAATCCTCAGCATCACATAAATGTAAAATATTGTGTCTTCCTATAGCTAAAAAAATTTAAAAAAAGAATACTAAATGAGGGTTGGATTTGTGGGTCAGTGGTAGAGTGCTTGCTTAGCACCTGTGAGGCACTGGATTGAACCTCAGAACCACATAAAAATAAATAAACAAAACATCTACAACTAAAAACAAACAAACAAAAAACCCGAAAAAATTAAATAAGCACTAGGAATATAGCTTAATGGTTAAACTCTTGCCTAACATGCCAGACGCCCTGGGATCCATCCCCAGAACTGGGAGGATGGGGGTGGGGTAGAGATGGGAAAGAAACCTAGATGAGAGAGGAAAATGCATATGGGTTGCACACAAAAACAGAAAAAGCCAATTGGAGCTGAACAAGTATTTATCCAAGAGTAATTAGGTATGGGTCAAGAAAAAGTTACTTGAGGTTAAAAAAAAAATGAGGTGGCTGATAGGATAGAGTGGGGCTGAATGAGCAGGTGGGATTTAAATGGAATATCCTGGGACAGACCTAGTGGCATCTGGGAGCTGAGAGCATTCTGAGGGGGATTTAAACCTTAAGTGGGGTCGCCTATCAGGGACAGGACGGGGCTTAATAAAGTCAGACAGAGCAGGTCAGTGGTACACACCTGTAATTCCAGCTAGTTAGAAGGCTGAAACAGGAAGATGGCAAGTTCAAGGCCAGCCTGGGCAACTTAGCCAGACCCTGTCTCTAAACAAAAAATACAAAGGGCTGGGGATGTAGCTTTGTGGAAGAGCACCCCTGGGTTCAATCATCAGTACTGGGTCAGGAGTGGGAGTGAGGGTGGAAGTGGGCAAAAAGGATCTCTCAACTGTTGACCCAGGGATAGGCAAGGCCTTGGAGGGCAAGCCAAGACTGAGAGGATGGATGAGGACCTGAGGAGTCAGGAGCCAGTCTGGTAGTAGAGTAGCCACTACCTCCCTGAAGGGAAAGACTGAGGCCTGAGGGGCCACCGAGACCCCAGGTAGGTGCCCTGGGTCTTGGCTGGACCTTTGGGCGCAGCTAGGCCGGAAGGCATAATTGGGGGGTCCTAAAGAATCCCTCTGGCCCTGAGGTGGTGGGCCCCTGCTTGAGGGGCAGTCTGGGCCTGAAGTAGCCAGGCTGAGTCAGCAGAGGTTGTTTGTCTGGGCGGGCAGCTGCAGCTCCAGAGGGCACCACGACCTGAAGGGGCTGCTTGGGCCTGAGGCGGAGGACCCAGGACGGCGAACTTGGGGACCAGGAGAAAACACTGGGTGGCTGCGCCGCCGAGGGCGTCCGCGCTTGGCCACAGCACCTGAGGAAGATAAGCTGAGAATTCTAGAACTACAGGCCGAACGCGGAGGACGGCCGACTCCGGGATCCAGGCCTAGGGAGGTGTCCGCGCGCGAGGCGCGTTTGGGGGCGGGGCAT